ATGGCAGGCCGGTTTGTGCGAGCTTCCAAGTATCGTGAGTGTTGATGTCCAACTGCAGCCCAGCTTACCATGCTAACAAGATGCACCAGGCCACGTCTTTGGCAAGGGCACCAAGAAGGTACAGTTTGCATGCCGTCTGGCGATGCGTCGGCGTATGCTTACAGTCTCGTAGGAGCAATGCTACGACAACCTCCGCATCTCCAAGAATGCTTGGGATACCAACCTGATCAAGGTCAGCCCATCCGCACACGCGACCTCGTCGGACATGCGCTCACCCTCTCCAGGCCAACCCCGAATACATCTCAGTCAACTGGGAAGCTAGCGGCGGTGGCGCCTTTGCTGTCATCCCCATCAACGAGCGCGGCCGAGCTCCCGACCAGCTTCCTCTCTTCCGCGGCCACACTGCTGCCGTCCTCGACACCGACTGGTATGGTCGCACACGGCATGGGATGCAAGGGATACGGCGCTAATTGCTCGCAGGTCTCCCTTCAACGACTCGCTCATCTCTTCAGCCTCCGACGACGGCAAAGTCGGCATCTGGAAGGTCCCCGAAAACTTCACCCTATGGACCGACGCTGACGAGCCTGCTGACGTCGCTCCTGTCGCCAAGCTGAGCGGCCACATGAGGTACCACGTTGCGCTCCAGTCTGCATTCGCATCTAACACTGCCGTAGGAAGGTTGGCCACGTCCTCTTCAACACCGCCGCCGAGAACGTCCTCGCTAGTGCATCTGGCGACTACACCGTAAAGCTCTGGGACGTCGAGGCCGGTCTGCCGCAACTCACTCTCAAGCACAACGACATTGTCCAATCGCTGTCATGGAGCGCCGATGGATCCCTCCTCGTCACCACGAGCCGTGACAAGAAGCTGCGCGTATGGGATGTGCGACAGGAGAAGCCCGCCCAGGAAGTTCCTGGCCACCCTGGTGCCAAGAACAGCCGCGCCGTATGGATGGGTGAGACCGACCGCATCGCGACTACTGGTTTCTCGCGCATGAGCGACCGTCAGCTTGGTCTCTGGGACCCGCGCAACCCCAAGGAGCCCATTGGCGGCTTCCAGATCCTTGACTCCATCTCTGGTGTATGCATGCCCTTCTGGGACGACGGTACACAGTGTCTGTACCTTGCTGGCAAGGGGTGCGTACATGATTCCAATCCAGTAGCCACTTTACTAACACGCGCAGTGACGGTAACATCCGATACTACGAATACGAAAACGACAAGTTCGAATACCTCTCCGAATACAAGTCTGGCGACCCACAACGTGGTATCGCCTTTCTTCCCAAGCGAGGTATCAACCTGCACGAGAACGAGGTCCTTCGCTGCTTCAAGACCGTCAACGATGCCTACGTCGAGCCCGTGTCCTTTATCGTACCCCGCCGCTCCGAGATGTTCCAGAGCGACATCTACCCTCCCACAACTGGTCTCAAGCCTGGTGTCTCAGCAGCTGAGTGGTTCGGCGGTAAGACCGCAGCGCCTCCCAAGATCTCGCTCGAGAGCGTGTACGAAGGTGAGGCCCCCAAGGAGGTGGAGAACGATTACAAGCCCTCCGAGCCCGCGACCAGCCAGCCTTCCCCAGTCAAGGCCGAGCCTCCCAAGAGTAAGCCTGCGCCAGAGCCTGTTCCTACAACATTAGCTTCTCGTGGGCCGCCCCCTTCTATGAGGGACAACAAGGACTCCATGGCATCAGCAGCTTCCAAGTTTGCAGACAAAGACGAGACTTCCGACAATGAGAGCGCATCAAGCTTCGAGGAAATCCCGAAGCCAACGGAGCGCCGCACCTTCACTGCTGCCCGTCAAGAAGAGAAGACCAAGGGCCCTGCCATTACCAAGGAGCCCGAGAGCGCGAAGACTACTCCGACACCCACCCCAGCGCCTTCCCAGGCTAGGTCTGCCCCGCCCGCCGAGCCTACTCCTACGCCCGCCGCTTCTGCCCCAGCCTCCACACCTAGCGCCGGTGGTCCTGCCTCTGCCCTTCGCGATGCGCTAGGCGACATCAAGTCTCAGCTCGAGCAGCAGAACAGGGTCATGGAGCAGCAAAACAGAGTCATGTCGGACCAGTCTGATCAAATCGCACTTCTGCTGCGTGAAGTTTCAACACTCAAGGCCAAGGCTGCAACGTCAGAACCTTCCGACCGTGAGAAGGATGAGCGCATCAGGCAGTTGGAGCTCGAGCTTGAGGAAGCTAGGTCTTGAACATCAAGATCTCAGCTTCCACATCTTTCGTGCTGACAATCTCAGAAAGTTGAACAAGGATTACGTGAATTTAATCACTCGTGAATATGTCCACAGAACATCGCTTCTTGGATAAGATCTCACGGGCACGATCTGCGTTATCCGAATAGTAGAGCTGTTAGTGTCGAGTAAGGGTCCGTGTATGATGATTGGGGGTGTTTTGTGTATGCGTATATCTGTCTGTCTGTCGAACTTGCTTTCGTTAGCAAGGTGTTTGGGTTAGCGGCATTGTATGGCACAAAATTCATTACTTCTGGTTTAGCGATTGATCCCTTGTATGTTCCCCGCCTTATGCTGACAAAGGCGCAATATTAGACTATGCAAGCCAAGGCTATGATCGAGGCTGAGGCTGAGCAATCTGCCCGTATGCTTACCTTGACACATACACCATCGACCTTCGGATTACACAAGCTACCATTATCACTCGAGGAGCGGTCACCGCGATCAGCTTCCTTCGCCCTGTTTCACCAGAGCACATACACTATGAGCAAAGCCATATTTCCAGCCAACACAAAGTCAGATCACTACCGGCACCATCCTCTCAGTCGCACACGGGATCAGTTTTGCCTCATCAAGATCAGTCCTGACAGACTGAATAACGGTGTCCTACGCCAGACAATACAAGAGCTAGCATGTCCTCGAAGAAAATTACGATAGCCGGTGGGCAATTTGAAACCTCGTTACAAGCGCTCTATGGCTACGCTCAGGATGCAATTGACATGGACTCCGAAGAGCTAGCGTCTTTGCCTCTGGAGATAGCGTACGGATGAGCAAGATGGACAGCAGCTGTCACAAAGCTTGTAATGACGTACCGTAGACGAGACGCAGGTATGTATCTTGCAGACTTGATCGATCGCTCAACAGACTCCGTATGTGGTATGGACACAAAAGACTATATCCGGGCTGCCTTGGGTTTATTGGGACGTGTTCAAGGTCTCTGTATCGATGCTTCACAGCACCAGTGTCCATACTCGATAGTTATGGCTGCGATACATGCGACAACTCAAGATTCTCATCCTTAAAACTCTCACGACAGGGGTCTAAGAGGCGGCGGTATTAGGGGTACATCCGCGAAATTGCTGCATTCATTGCTACCGACCTAAATTACACGGAAACTTATTGTGATGCTTATAAAAAAGCACTGTCTACGTGTCGTACGATCGCCTTCTCATGTCAGGTCAGCCACTATCGCTCGTGAGAAGTCTATCAGCCTTCCGAAGCCGCCAACACTAGAGATCAACGGCGAATAGGTGTCGATACAATCGAGAGCACAAGTCTCCATAGGTTAGAAGCGGAAGCATGTGCTGGTCAGATGTCTCAGACGTGGTAGCTTGGATGTTTGTGAAATGATGACGACCGAGAGTGGGCCGACGAGCACAGGCCGCAGATTTGATTCCACTTCATCTCTCGCGTCAACCTGCAGTCAACCACCACTGTCACCGTATCTGCATGGACCTGATCATCACATCGCACTTATGTGTTCTCATTTTTGCCTTCATACCCAGTGAAAATCTCGTTCCCTCCTTTCAGATTCGAGTCTTCTATGGTCCTAGCCTTTCTCTTCCGCGCAACGACAAAACCCATCTGAAGTACTTCAGCGTGCTCAAAGTCACGTCTAGCAACTCTGATACGTCCAGATTCCTGTAAAATCTCATTTCATTCTCTAAGTCAGACTGCCTTCGTATTCACTCATTTCTCTCATGGATCGACATGTCCGTCTATATGCTCGGCAGTACGTTGACTGACTTACGGATTGAACCAATCACATCCACAACACCTGGCGCCTCTCGACAATGCCAATCTTGTACTACCCAGATGGTTCGTTGAGATTCCATGATCCGCATGTCGATTAGGCTGCACGGCTACCTAAGAGGTGCATGTACGGAGTTGGTGTATATTTCACGCACAGTTTGCACACAGACACTTCTTGCTCCGCAAGCCGAGTTGGAGACGGACTACCACAGGCAATATTGCCGTATCCGGACAATGCTAGGAGCATGATGTAACAATTCCAAGTATCACTCGTTTGGCCAACCTGCTCCTTAAACACATGTACCGAAGCCGCGTCATCAAAGTTCCTGAATCGCAACATGCACAGACTATCATTTATCTATATCTGACCTTTTAGTGGCGGTGAGCGTTTGCGATCGTTTTTCAGGGTCTACTCCGGCCCATTATAGCGAGCCTCACAGTTCACCAGTGTGTATACACATGAAAATATTTCTGCCTAGCGCGTCTAGATTTTACATCCTCAGCAATTACTCTTGAACAGAGCAGAAGAGAAACCAATAATCACTACTACATCAACCAGCTGCGAGTTACACAAGTAACAGATAATTATGGAATATATCAAGGATGCTGATCGACAGCAGAGCAGGTTTGTAATTAGGGCGAGCCTTTTTGGATGAAAGCTTACAAGATATAGTGTGACTCAGGCTGTGTCGGCTGTGTCGACTCCACTTACTGACACTTCGTCTCTATCAGAACTTTCAGAAACCCCCTCTTCGGAGGTGGGCAGTGTGAGCTTTGATGGCCCAGGTGTTGCAGACGTGGATGAAGACTCTGCAGGCGAGTACCGAAGCGACAACAACAACAACACATACGATGACCAGAAAGAGGCCGAAGTAAGTTCCAAGACATCTCAATCTTCACTTGCTGACATTACCACAGCACAATCTGAAGCATATTAAAATCACGTGCGCAAAAGGTCGCCTTGGAGGCACTATCAGTGACAATGTATATGCTTGTCCACGCTGCAAATCCCATATGTCTAAGAAGTATTCTACAGAGGTCCATAATTCAGTCATATTCCATAGATGTATACTGCTAACGTATAAGCAGCGTCACATCAAAGACTCCTGCTGGAAAGTCTGCGACGAGTGCTGCGAATCCAACAATGCTACGTGCGACGCCTTCTACGTCAAAGGCGCATGCAAACATTGTGTGAAGCAGGGATTGAATTGCACCAAACATACCGAACCAGTGTCAGATTGTGTTCCTGAATTGCTTACAGGTGTACATCCGCAGCCATACAAGTCAACTCCAAGGGCCACCCGTGCCGGTACAACTTCGAAGCAAGATAGAGGCAAACGCAAAGCCACCCAGTCACCAAGCGCTAGCCCAAACTCCAAACCTGTCGTCAAACGCGCAGCTGCTGCTGCTGACAGGGAAGAGAGGCGAGCAATCGTCGATCCGGATGATAAAGCCCTACGTCCAGATCCATTGGACAAGTCGCAGTTCACTGCAGACGAGAAGCTCCAGGAACGGAAACGTGCTGAGGAGAACGTTTCGGTCACTGGCAACCATGTTCAGAATGATCAAGATTTACGATATTACGTTCCAACCGCACCGCCATCTCGACAAACAATCATGCCCCAGCGCAGGCAACAAGGTCAAGGACTGTCACAGTCGTCGTTGCCTTCGGGCATGCTACGCTTGACGCCCGGTCAGCAACACGATGGTCGCGATGTCGTGACTGTCGATGAAGCTCTACGTCGTTGGCCGCAAACACACAATAGTGCCGGTCGTATGTTTTATATCGTGGATGGGAATGGAGAGGTCTTGAATCAGTCCATGATCGAGGGTAACGAGCTCCTCCAGAACGTACACCGTCAACAAGCACGTATTGAAGTATGGGCAGCTCGGTATGACGACGCATTTCGTGTAAACCAGGTGCCTCCACCAGTTGATCCAGTATTCCCACAACAGAACGCTCGTCGCACTAGTTTCAACGAGGCACATCCCCCAGTGTCTCGCCTGAACCGCTTCCGCCCTGTCCAATCAGCCAACTTCAAGATCTATGAAGATGCTGCTCGTCGAAAGCTGCAATCAAAAGACTTTGTTGCCAGTGCGCCAGGATCTCGTA